AGAAATTGTGTTATTCAATTCATATAAATGATTCAGTCTTTCACACTTCATAAAAATCATCATACTATCTTTCTTTTTTCATTTGATATCCACAAACAAAATTTATTTACTAGTTTGCATAGTAACCGAACTTCTGAATAATTAGTTAAAAATATATTGTTCACTCATTTCTTTTAATAAGGGCAATATGAATTTTTGCAGGATGAAAATACAGAGCTATGGATTAATTAATTTATAAGTATTAACATATTTGAAATATTAAAAGAATTTAAAATTTAAAAACATTGTTTGATAAATTGATAAACATTTGATAAATTGTATGAAGAAAAAAATGCTTGTTTTGATTACTAAATTTATAATAAAAGTTTTATATATTCCTATTTTTACTTGATATATACAAATAGGGAAGAAGCAAAAGTTGATAACATTCGTTTGACTTAATGGAAATGCTTTCAAAAACGTTCCTCTTTTCATGACTAATAAAGGCAGTGAGATAATTGAATGAAAGTGCAAGTTTGAACAAATAATGAAAAGATAACTTTCTGACTGTGATATTCGCGAAATGTGTCCAGTGTTATTTTCCAGACGATGACGTAACTGCAAAGTGAAACAACTGTGGCGTCCGATTGGCTGCGTGATTCCCCTGTGTTTTGATTTGCGTTTGAAAACTGTCTGAACATATTAACGGGCCAATGAGTGAATCGGATGTTCAGCAGGTGAGTGAAAAGGATTAAGTTACCCGTTTTTAGCTTCGAAATTCTGTATTGAATATTTCATACGGGAGAAAAATTTAAAATCGGGATTATTTACAGTATTAAAAATTTTATATATTTAGAAATGTCTTGAACGTATATTTTAATTAAAAGCTGAAGGGTGTAGTTTTATCAAATTAATACGTCTATTGTAAAATATTTAGAACTTTAACAGGGCTAAATCCTTTAAAAAATGCGCTTTCTTTTAAATATTTATCAGGCTTGATGTATTATTTATTTGTTTTATCAAAATGGACAAAATGGTTATTTATGACATTACGGGTAATACAGGCCGTATAAATTTTACTGCATCAAATGCAAAAACACAAATTCTAGTATATTAAATTTATATTTATTAATTATTTTTTATTTTTTTATATTAAATGTTGTTTTCAGTAAACTGTAAACTTTTAACTTTCGAATATTGTTACAGAACAGAATTGAATTTAAATAATTTCGTAATTCTAATACAGTTTCCAGAAACTTGTTGTGTTAACAATTTTTTTTAAGTAATGTAGTATTTTGCACTTTTAATATGTATAATTTAAGCACATATTAAAGTTATCTTTAATCCTTTTTTTAATTAAATTATAATTTCACATCGTCCATGAAGAAGATGACAAATATAAATTGTAATATATAGACTTTTAATTCATGTTTAAGAATATGAACTGTTTACATCTATATATGTTTAACAAATACAATATTATCTCATTCATATAAAGCTAATTAAAATTTTAAATTATGAAAATTCAGTTGTAAACAATATATATATATATATATATATATATGCGTGTGTCTGTGTGCATAGCTTACTAATCTGTTTAAGGTATTTACATATATGCGTACTTGTAGAGAATTCTTATATATTTCTCCAAAATAAATTAGAAGTCGTTTCCTTTTAAACCATATTTGTTTACTTTGTATTCGTATTCAGACTTTATACTCGTATACTTCGTAATATGTATGACACATACATAATTTGTCTTATGTATTGACTAACAGTTGTCATTTTGGTGATGTCTGATGTCAGAAACAATCATATTCAAAAATATCCCTTTCGTTTTACTTACGGGTTTTTACGCATGTCAGGAGACGTATTTTTTACTGTAAACTTGTAAAACCTACAGTTTTTTATTCTATATTTTTTATTTAAGATCTTTTTATTTTATCTCTAGAAAACTTTAACGGTGCTTAATTTGAAGGTTTATTTTACATGTTTCAGTTTAAATAAATGGACTGATATTATCATTATGCATTTTGTTTTCAGTATCTTCCAAGTATACACCTGGTTGAATAATATTTCTATAAACAGAAGCTTTAGCCATACTATTTTAAAATTTAAATAAAGTACTTTTATGCCCGGAAAAGAACAGTCATATTTAAAGAGTACATCGTTTGAAAGAAATTGATGTTTCCAATTCAAACTTCACATTAATATTCGAAATTCTGAAACTGGTATGTAAAACAGAATTAAAACACAGAGGAATGAGACAAAATAATTTCCAGCAGATTTTTCTTTATTTTCATTATTCAAATTATTTTATATAAAAGTTTTCTATCAATATCAAATTTCACTCTTATTTAGAAGTGTCTTCATTTATTTTGTTTATTTTATTTATTTATTGTAAGTAACTTGCTAAATTCAGGGTTTTAATGCAATATTTTGTACAGCTATTAAGACGTTATGTAAAGCTAGTAAGACGTTATGATTTTCTAACTTAAGTAAATGCTTTAAATAATTAGATCATTAATGAAAATGCACTGCTAAGACAAAAAATATATTTACTAGCTTTCTAAATTCAAACAAATCCGTTAATTTTAGATATTCATTTTATTTTTCTTTATATATATATATATTTCTTGATATATGTAATATTTTACTGATATACAAATACAGTATTTACACGCGCATTTTGCCCACTTTTCCTGCTAATTTTATCGCTTGAAAGCAGGGAGAAAAAAGTATGCAGTGTGTACTACTTCTGCACTTATACAAAATATCTTCCTATCTTTGTATACGTTTTACATTATTACCATAAATCAGAAATTTCTAAATCATATGTTGGGAAAACTGGAGAGGAAATTATCCGGGGGGGGAGAAATATGCGATTAAAACTTCAGTTGTGAAGAAAATATTTAGTATATACACAACTTTCTTTTAGAATTTAAATTTATAATATGAGTTTATTTACTCAGTTTAGTAATATATGAACTACTTAGAAGATTTTAATTTTGATCGTTAGAAGATTTGCCATCTTTTACTTGGTAGATTATTTTGGTCATTGCATCTAATGCAAAAAAAAAAAAAAAAAAAAAAAAAAAAAAAAAAAACCTAAAGCTATACTTAATTACTGTAAAATAAATATCATATAATTTCAGAATAAAAATGCTTTTAAATTTAAAAGTATATAAAGGCGTTTGTCATAAGTGCTTCCGAAAGACAAAGGGCATCTCGATTTCCATCAGTAAGACAAGATGGCAAACACAGATGTTTCAGTGTTCCCACTTTTCATAGTTTTTGTTTACTACCATCAATAAAAGGACTTTTATTAGCAGAAAAATTCTGATGTGGACACCACATGACTTCCTTATACGGCCAATTAAATTATACATATTTTTGCTGCAACAATAAACTTATATTAAATGTTTTTAGATATTTACAACAATAAACTGCTATTAAATGTTGATAGACTAATTATACATATGTATAAAAACTGTTATTATGAAGCCTTGAGCTAGATTTCCTTTTTCTCGAAACTTAATTTTTTTTGTGTTTGAAATTGCCAAAAATGAATATTTTCGTCATTTAAAATACTTCTGTTAGGTGCACAACTAGGTGATATAGCATTCCCATATACAAAATTGCAACGTTCTACAGCTAATCGTTTTTGAGTTATGCGAGATACATACATGCATACATGCGTATTTACGTACAGACGTCGCTAAAAAAAAATCCTTTTCGAATGAATTTCCTTTTCCCTTTTGGATCCATTTTACAATCATTTTCGGGGAAAAAGAGTCCTTTGATATGTCCGTACGTACAAAACTCACGCAAAAAAATCGTTCAAATGGATTTGGGAACAGTCAAAATGGATATTTCTCAGGAAACGTGACACTCGAAATTAAATTAATTTTCGAGATTACAGTATTTCATTTACTTTACACCAGGAAATAAAAAAGGCTGCTTGAACTATCTTATTTATCATTTTTCTGTGTTTTTACGTTTTATCTATGACGATTCTTGTAGTTTTCGCCATCGAAATCTTTTCTTCGAAAAAAAAAATTCTTTTCAAAAGGTAAGAATATAAATTGAAGTACAAAATCATGTTTTATTAATGCATATTTTATTGATAACATAAAATATATACTACGAAAAATGTAGATTGCATCGAGATAGACATGTAGTTCCTATTATCCTGTTGTAAACTATTTCTATAGCATATATATTTTTATACAGCATAATTAAAAAGACCTGATCTATTAAATTACATCAGAAAATATTAAGGAATTAATTTAGGCTTTTTATTCCAAAAAAAGTTAAAGCAATTTTACAAGTTTCGTTTTCATACCTATTTATACTGAGTAGTTGTTTTCCATGTAGACGTTTCGTGTTTACTAACAAGGTAATTTGCTATTTCTCTATCGTCATTCTTCCCCGCTATTTCGCTATCATCATCATTCTTGCCATTGCTTTCTTCGCCTGTGTCTACCTTTTCTTTAACGTGAACACGTGTATTTTGCATTTTGATTCCTTAAATATCATTCAGAATAAGTTTAATTAGTACATTAGTTAGTCATATTAATTCAATTTGTAATAAAAGTTTCATTGATATTGCGTGTCAAATTTAAGTAAATATAGTATTTAAGAAACCTCTCTGTCGTAGAATATATTGGCTAATTTAGTTGTCATTTGTTGCTCTAAGCTTATTTCTGTTTTCTCGTATGACGCTTCAAACAAATTAAGTTAGTTCAACTTGAATATTTGTTTTTGCGAATTTTTATATATTTATTATTTTAGGTTAAGTGTGTATAACAAAATATTTAAATGCGCTGGTAATGATGAGAAATTTGAATAACATTATGCTTTATAGAAGGTTTTTATTTTAATAACATTTTTCTGTTTTTGCAAATGTATTATAGTAATATATTTTTTATTCATTAATTATATCTGTTTTGCGTAATATTGTACATGTTTGCTTTATATGTTGTATAATAAGACATTGCATTTTTTCCCTTTTCTTGCAGTGTGATACTGTTGAAGAGGAGAAAAAGGTGAGCTTTTTTAATATTAATAAATTATTTACAGGCTTACAAAGAAAAGGTTGGTTGATGAGAATTGGATAAAGAATGATTAATGGGCTTAAGCTGAAACAGCTGGCGTTTCTAAAAAAAACTGGAAGAATAATGCTGAAAATGTCTCTAAATTGCATGTATTAAATTTTGTTTAAAAAAGATAACAACTGATGTAAAGCAATTAAAGAACCTTGTCGTAGGCTGTAACACTTTTTGGACAAATTTGTTTTAGAGATAACTTTTTTATTAATTTTTGTAATCATAAATCGTCTAATTATCACGGTTTTTCTAGTCATTTCAATAATATTAGCATTAATATTAAATCGACTTTGTTTTGTTAAAGTTTTTGTTGTTGTTGCACAATGTTTTAAAAGCGTGTTAAAAGAGATATATAAGCATTTAAAATTTAAATATTCACATTTAACAATTTTCCCCACAATTGGTTTAATGTTTTTTTAATGCAAAAAAAAACTGTTATTTTATGATCGAAGGTAAAACACTAACTTTTTAAGTATATAAAAAATTCTTTGGGAAGAGTTTATATATTTTAATACAATCTTCAGACATCTGTAGAATTAATTCACTCAAATCACGTTAAGTTTGCCTGTGTACCCCTGTAAATGTATTTATACTGTATACATCATTATAAGGCAACAAAACAAACTTTACATTTGCTTAGTCTTGGTCGTAAAGGGTAAATTGCAGCATTGTCAGTCATAGTAATAATGATAAAAAATATCAAGATGATTTATTATTACATTGTAAATTAAATTCAGAAGCATTTAAAATTATTTATTTTTAAAGTTTCGTAAAAAATTTTATATCGTAGCATTTTTGGGCTTTATATTTTCCTATAACAATAAAATTCTAAAGAAAATGGAAGCTTATAAGAATAATTTATTTGCGGTTTTATTATCTTCCGTTCTGCTGGGCCACTGACAAAATTCAAATTGCGTTTTTCATGTCTCGAAAGCGCGACGTAGGATATATATTAGATTTATATATAGCATTTCTAACATAGGTATTTTGACACAAAATCGGACTTTTTCTGAAATAACATACCAATTTTTTTCCATATTTCCATTCTACGACTCAAATTATGCCGGGATTTTGAATTTTGTAAAACTTGGTGCGAATTTTATGGAGAAATTCAAAAAATTTATCTTGGCGCAATATTTTCAGTTTACACCAAGAATAATTCACTTGGCGAACTTCTTAATATATGGCAACCAATTTTTCTTTCCCTTCCATTATGCCTGAGCGCAAAAAAAGGCACCTCGTTCCTACCTTTTTACATTGTGCATGACGGAAAAAAAATCACATCATTACTACTTTCAAACAATTTTAGCAAAGTGTATAAACCACATTTGATGTTTTATCGCTTTCAACAAATGTGCCAAATTTCAAAACGTGGCAATATATAAAAAAATATATTCACGTATATCTTCGGAAATTTTGAATAAAAAACTGTCATTTTTTGCAGTATCATGGTAAACAATAAAGTACATACAAGCCCATCGCACGATGGCAACATCGCAGACATGCTTTTCGCGGACTTAACTTGAAAGTTTTTAAAACGTGTTAACGCTTTATCCAGCTCCATTAAAAGAGATTGCTGCTACTACGTTATTGAAGAGATTAATTAAATCATGACCTTTAATAATAGTTAACTACTTAAGTTTAAAGGTCTGTTAACTAATTAAGATACAATAACACGCGGAACAAATATTAATTTAGAAGCTAAAACAACAAAAATCAGCGCACAACTGTGAAAATTTGAAAATGTGACGCTGATTTTTGTTGTTTGATTTCTAACTTAATATTATGATCTGTTAACTGTTATACGGATCATTAACTTTCTACTCATTTTGAATGATTAAGTTTCTTTCAATTTTAATTTATTGTTATTAGTTCTTCTTGCTCTCGTTCTCATTATTCTAAAATGCAATTAAAATTTTTAAAGGCTGAAAATACATATGTGCGATGCGATAATAGCACCGCACATGTAACTTTATTTTGTACGAGTGAACGTTTTATTTTGCGCGACGATGTTTTAAAACTGCCATGATTTCGAAAACTTTTATTTTCTACGATGATATTTTAGAGCTACGATGCGGTTTTTTTTTCCATGCTTTCTTTTCGTACACGATGTTTTCTTCATAACGTTTTAGTCCGCGATGTTTTTGCCTATAAACAGCCGATAACTTTATGAAATCTCATTCAAGAGAAATCCTGAAAACCTATATAAATAACTGCAGTTAATAAAATAACAAGTTATTTTTCAAAATACAGCAAAATTTTTAAAAGTTCAATTAGCACACGCGCAGGATTTCCGAAATTACTAGCCGGTTTTAAAAACATCATATGGCTTAAAACATATTTAGTAAACGCATTTAAACAAAATTACATCGTTAGCCAAAGAAAATGCATCTGCAAAACGACTTATGCCATAAAATGTCCTCCTTTCAAAGCATATTATTAGCTTTCATTCCTTTATTCTAAGAGCGGAGGGTTGTTTCCTTACAGTTTAACTTCTTAAGCTTACGTTAATATGTCGTCAACCTAAACTTCGCATTAATTGTTTTTATGTTCATATCAAAGATAATAATATAATTAAATAAATCCCGATTGAATTCTTTTCGAGCTACAAAGACATATATTTTTTTCATAATTTGCATTCAAAGGATTTCCTGTTTACCTCCAAACATTTCAATTATTCAGGGATAATGAAACGAAAGAAAAACAAAATATTATCTTTTCATTGGTTCTTAAGAGCAAATATTATATTTTGATACACGGAAAAGCTACTTTTAATTACGGAAGAATTAGTTCCACATTTCTGGAGATTAGTGAATTGTTTAATTAACCGGTCAGCTCGACAGAGGATAGTTTTTTTAATTTTTTATTTTATTGTTATTTTTTAATTTCTGGTTTCTCTTATGTTGCCAAACGTATTCTGGAAATGAGATTTTTTTTAATTTGCTGTTTTGTTAAGATGTTTGTTCTGCGAAACCTTCTGTGTATTTAGTTTTTTTTTTTTATATTTAATTTTCCGTGTAAAAATATTAATGTTAGGAATTTGACACTAATATTTATTTTGACTTATTTAATATTTGTTTAATTTTTGTACGTAAATATATAATATAAAACTGACGTGATAGATGTCATAGTTTTGCACTAGCGTTTATTTCTGCATGCGTGACAGTGATAATATAAGAATAACTTATCCATGCGTATGTATTTTGTATAAATTTTATCTTTTGCATTTAAATCGTAGTTTTTATGAAGATGCAATATTAAGTATTTATACGTATATATGAATATATGCGGATAATTAAATAATGAAACTAACAAGCTTTTATCTACGTAAAGTAATATGCCGTGGTTGGTGTAAAAGAAACTTGTGCTAATATATAATATCATCATGCAGAATTAATGTTTAACATAACGTACATTTTTCAATACAAAAATGCAAAAATATTAACAATTTTTAAAGATATATATGCTTGCTGGGAAAACAATGGTGATATTAGGTAGTAATAATAAATCTGCAGAGCTATAAACTAACTTTCATACTTACTATCTGACTTCTTTTGAAACTAAACATCCAGTGTCTAAGCAGAAAAGATCGCTGAATTCCTATTTGACTTAAGCTCGCATCCTAGTGAAAGATTGATTTTTTTCCTGATTTTCTCCATCTGTGACATGAATACGAGACGCTTTTCCTTAGAACGTCCTCTAGTCCTGTTTTTTTTTTTTTAGGCAGATAACCCTTGTGTACTTTCTCTAGTCAATTAACCTTACCTTTTCTGGTAGTAAAAATGTAACTCATTTTTATTACTTTTTTGTGAAAAATTCCCTTCCAGGTTTTTAATGCGTTTTCTCATTTTTCATTTATTGTCTGTTATAATATGTTCATAATATCAGTAAATATATATAATAACGGACACGTAATATGCGACTGGGTCGAAAAAGTTGAAAGAAAAATCTTTATTATTGTAAAGCTTTGTTTGTATGCACTTGTTACAGAATTTTTATCACGATTATTTTATTTTTTAATATAAACATCAGTGTTATAAAAAATAAAAAAAATTGTTTAAAAAAGCATTGTTATAGCATTGAGTTTTTTTTTTTTTATTTTTTTATTTTTTTATTTTAATGTCTTTATTCTTTTAATGAGGATTATTTTCACTTTGTAACTTTCTTCTTATACTTTTAGTACATTTGTTTCACATATTTAGTTTCTGATCATTTAAAGGGGCAGTTAAGGTTTTAGGTTTTAGGAGCGAAAATATGAATGCAATTAATTCAACTGGAAGCAAAATTTTGGTTTAAAATTTTAATTTTCGTCTAAAAATTCTTAATTTGTATAATTGTATTGGATATATAACGTATATTACTAAACACATGTCCTCTTTTTTTTTCCTATTTTTAGTCCAAAGGGGCTTTGTGCCTGAGAGACTATTGTTTTCGTTTTGCGATTTTGCGTTGAATCACTCTGAATGTCCGTTTCACTTTTCAAATTGTTGCCTCCAAATATTATCACCCTGTATTATATTTGAAGAAGTTAAATAATGAAGAATCTGCATAAATGTATGTATGTTACGCGCATTGTGGTAAAACAACGGTACCTAGAGCCCTCCAATTTTGAATGACGTAATCCTACTGCTAATATGGGCATATGAAAGCTCGAATTTCACTTCAACGAGTTTTTAACAAACTAAATGATTTCAAAGCGAGCCATGGCAACGTTGTAAAAAAAAAATATTATCTCTTGCGCGTGAGACTGTGTATCGGAAATTCTTAAGATATGCTCAATTTAAAATTATTTTGCGATATTGCTCTTAACCTTTTGAGGCCGGGGCTTTGTTAGCAGTAAAAGCTACCAAAGGACGGGGAATCTTGAAACGAATGCTTTCCCCCCTTTAAGAAATCACCTCCTATTTGCAACAAAGATTCTTGTGTGTAGTTTAATGGAT